TGGGTAAGCACTGGGTCCGAGTGTCTTGGACAGAGCAGTGTTTGCGGCAAAAGACTATCAACGAACAACAAACCCCCACACCTGTTGTCCTTCTGTTGGTCCCTGTTCATGGAGACCGCCACTGCTCCATGATGGCTCATCTCCGTCTATAACCCTTATCGAAAGAGAGAGCTGGCCCCGCTGGGTGGGTGTCCGCTGCTGGGTGCCATGACCCTCCCCTTTGCTGGGTTGGTATGCCAGCACAAACTGTTTTCGCCACTCAGGGACCTTCAAAGGACGTTGCATCTTGGTGTTTTTCACGTGGCATTTGCAGTTCCCCCATTCGCAGTGTCCTGCCCTGGCCTTACAATAAAGCCGCTTTTGTTCATTGGTCACCTACTTACGCTGTGCTGTCTAGATGGATTTTGCCCCCTTAATACTCAAGGCAGCCCTATCATACAGCGGGTGCCTATCAGAGAGCTGAGGCACAGAAGGGTGAGTAGCTGGCCTGGGGTCACACAGCTGATGAAAGGTGTAGTCTGGGTGTGTCCTGATGCTGTGTACGCCGATGGCCCGAATGCGTCCTCATTCTGCACTCTGCAGCCCCAGACTCATGGAAGTTCCCGGGGGACTGATGAAGAGTGGGCAAGGGCAGGTGATCTACAGCAGATGGAGGGGTCTAGCCAGAGGGCCAGGGCTCTCAGGAGCTGTTTGGTCAGCTCTGCTACACTGAGCGCCCCACCTAACCCCTCTACCCGCCCCCACCCCCACCCTTGAGAAAGGCCCAGTTGAGGACAATGTCCCATGTTCGGCAGCCGGGTGGCAGCGGCCCCAGGGCCAGGCCTGCCCCAGCTCTCACTTCTGTTCAGAGTGGAATGATCTGGAGCCTTTGAAGAAGGATTTCTGAAAAGCTATCAGGAGTGAATCATTGACTTAGGGAGGCGATGAATCAACGGGGAGTTCATAAAACGGCAAATGAATCGGGTGTGAGAGCGACGGAGCCACTGCTATTCCCCAGAACCCTCCGGGGACGGAGAGCTGAGAGAAAAGAAATAAAAATAACACGGGGCCTTACGCCTGCTACAAATCCCAGGCAGCCCCTCCTTCTGAGTGGATAGACAGGGTGGGGCAGAGGGAGGGGAGCCATCGGTGGGCACCCAGGCTCCCGGGGCACTCTCTGCTGCTGCCCGGGTCCGGGCTGCGGTGTAATTAGCAAACGCCTTTTCTCCTCCTTTTCAGGAGCCCTCACAAGAAAGAACACTGATTTTGACGAACACCCAAAATAATGTGAGATCAGGCACCATGCATTATGCATGAGGTCTGATTTCACATGAACATTATTTCTTGTGTACGAGACCATATGCCTC